CACCAATAAAATAATCCATAATGACCTTAATGTTCCTTATGTTTCCGATTTGGCCCAATCCAGATACCAATCCTTCCATAATAAACTTCAGAATCCTCTCGTCTCTAACCTTGCTTCCTCTTCTATTCCTGATAACCCTCCGAGGCGTCTGAAAAGAAGATGGCCTCGAGATCTCTTATTGTAAATACATTTTGTTCTTAGAGTGCTACCGGTGGGTAGTTTCTCAACAAGTCCTTTCATGTTTTTATTTTCTGTTATCAAATTTACTTAATGTATTTAAATTTTTAATACAGTTGTAAATATCATGAATAAATAAAAAAAAAAAAAAACTTTTATTCCATTTGTGCTAAAGGTGATATTTCGTAGTCTGCAACTGATATAACTAATCTGCTACTATGGAAAATAGCAAAGAGCAATAAAATATGAAATTATACTAATAAAGCATAAAGAAATAATAAGTTTTATTTTAAATACGACCTTCGGCACTAAGAATAGTGATATGCATGTTCACTATGCATTCTATTTTTTTTAAATTAAGGATAATCAAATAGGCAATCTCCAAATAAAGCACCCTTTCGCATTTTAATATTTGCTGATAAACGAAATTCTTGGATATCAAACCCACAAATGTTGAAGGGTAACTGCATTTCCGAATCGGCTTCTACCAGAGATTTTTTTCTTATACGAAAAATTGTATACATTGAACATATATTATATATTTTAGCCAATGAAAACGGTGAGGAAGCTATACTGGCCTTACTTGGCAGACGTTTTTACGTGTTTGAGGTTGCACCTATGCATTCGTCTATTTGTGCACGTATACATATTTGTATTTTCTTTTATATATCGGATGTATATATTGCTTATGATGTTATATGAACTTTATTTACATTATATATATTTATATTTCCTTCTATATTTTCATTTATATTATTTCCACTAAATTATCTATTCACTAATGTATTCACTTTCTCTTACTATTATGACTAAATCTATTATTTATCCATTGTTGTTTGCCTTTTGTTGTTGCTTAGTTATTTTCCGTATTTCAAGCGGAAAAGGGATTATTTCTACAATTAAATGCTGACTACACTGCACCCATTGCTGTATATATTTTAATTCTCATTTTCTTATATTATTTTTATTCTATCTCCCATTATCAATTAATTACTCACTTAACCATTTATTCTCCCACTCCTTCGATTATTACTATAACTATTATTTATTCATTAATTTATCTTTTACCTATTATTATTAATTTATTTCTTTTAGTAGTGTGGATCTGTCAGATCCCCATGAGGTACCACTCAAAAATTTTAGTATATTTAATGTGTTAGCTGTGGTTGTTTTAAGTGTCGTACTGTATGATTCGTATGTATGTTTCTGATCAAATGTCATGTTTGTTTGTGTAAGGTATCAATGAATTGCCTAGGAAGAGTCCAAGAGTGGGTGAGTGTTTCCCTTTCTGATAAAATGTAAACATTTTTGTTTGTTTTTTTGGCAGAGAACTGGAGATTCACAAATCCGAATATTCTGAACAAATTAGAATAAACTCAAATCTTCAAACTGTTGCAGTAAAAGTTTACCGAGGTTTCACCTTTTCAATTTGCAATATATACTTTCCACAGGATCATACAATAGATTCACAGCACCTCTTAGATATTTACAATCAATTGCCCCGTCCTGTGATTTTTGTTGGCGACCTAAACGGCCATAATTCCATATGGGGGTCGCAAGACATAAACACCAGAGGTAAAATAATAGAAAATTGTAGATACATTTCGAACCTCCTCCTACTTAACACGGGAGAACCTACGTTTCTCAATTCGAGCTATGGCTCTCAGCAATCGATTTGACTCTATGCAGTAATTCAATATCTAATATAATACACTGGACAGTTTTACCTGATTTGTAAGGTAGTAATTACTTTCCGCTACTTATAAAATTTACAAATCTAAATCCCACATGCATAAAACCGAGATGGGTACTAAACCGAGCTGATTGTGCTCTCTTTTCTTCCTTAGCCCCGCCACCGAAAATCGCACCATCCAAGATGAGCATTAACAAGGGGTACGAAACAATTACGAATACGATAATAGAAGCTGCTCAGGCATCGATACCGGTAACCTCAGGAATACCAAAACGACAGCTAGTTCCTTGGTTTGACAATGCCGGTAAAAAGCCATACAAGTGTTGATTTTATTAATGGTTTATGGGTTTTCTTATTAAGTGCAAAACATTGAATAAACCACTAGCCTTTTTTAAACTAAGCAAAATCAATCTTTATTAAACTAACAATACAACTTCATAGACAACTTCATAGAAAGAACAGGGTTATAACTAAACATACGTGTTACATATATATATTTAAATTCATACAATCGATATAAAATATGATCGATTTGTAATTAATATCAATAAAATTACTTTTAACAAAAAGATCATATTAAATCCTATAGAATGTTTCGGAAATCTATGACAATTGAAAACACGATAGAATATAAAAAACAACTGGCTATATGCAGAAGATTATTCAATCAATGTAAGGCTGAGTCCTGGAAAATATATATAAGCTCTATAAACGCATCTACAACGTCAGCTGATATATGGCATAAAGTATATAAAATTACCAAAAATCACTCTTCATCCCGGTACACTATTTCAATCGACGGACTGTTGTCCAATAACCCCTCACTCATCCCAAACCCATTTGACTACTTCTTTTATGAAATTTAAAACTCAGATAGAAATAATATCGATGTTCATCAGATAACACTTGACAATATTGAAATTTACGACGCTCACCATTGCCATCTTCCTTTTACAAGATTCCAAGATGTTTTAAGTACAGTTAAAGGAACATCACCTGGTCCTGACAATATTCATTACGACATGGTTAAAAACCTTCCTATTGACACACATAAATAGATCATTGGATATTAGATCATGTCTGGACAACCAGACTTTTACCGAGTACGTCATAATCCCGATTCTGAAAAACGGTCAAGACAAACGGTTTCCAAACAGTTATCGTCCCATTTTTATTACAAGCTGTCTCAGTAAAGTCATGGAACGAATACTAAATGTGGATTATAGAAACAATGTGGATTATAGAAAGCTATAATCTGTATCAGTTATTTCAGTCCGGGTTCCGAATGGACGATGCACAATTGATCATCTGATTGCATTGGACGCAGAGGCACAGTATGCCTTTGTCAACTCTCAGCAGTTGATTGCGATATTCTTTGATATTAGAAAAACATTTGACAGCATTAACGTACAACAATCTTAAATAAACTATTATCCGTCGGAATCAAAATTCAAATGTTTCGCTATGTAATCCAGTTCTTCTCAATTCGCCACTTTAGATTTAGAATAGGATCCGAAATATCTGAAGATCGTGAACAGATCGGCGGCTTTCTCTAGTGCTGTGTTCTTAATATAATTCTTTTCTGCTTGGCTGTAAACGACTTGGGACTCAACTTGCCAAGATATGTGAAGCCTCTATTATTTGCGGATGTTTAGCTATTACCTGTGATTCTAAAAATATCCACATCATAAAACGTAAGTTACACGACGCCACTAACAGAATAAACAACTGGTCTCTTTCCACAGGTGTTCCAGTTCTCTACCAAAAAAACAAAAATGTTTAGATTTTATCAGAAAGAGAAACACTCTCCTTCTCCTGGACTCTTCCTAGGCAATTCCTTGATACCTTACACAAACAAACATAAATTTTTATGAATGACATTTGATTGGAAACTGACATGAGAATCATACATTATGACACTTAAAACAACCACAGCAAACGCACTAAATATACTAAAATTTCTGAGTGGTACCTTATGGGGCTCTGACAGATCCACACTACTAAAACTATATTACGTATTGGTGTGTTCAAAACTGGATTACGGATGTTTTGTCTACGGTTCAGTACGTTGCCGGATCCTAAGTAAACTGGATGCGGTAAATTATACGAGCATTCTGATTGCAACTGCCGCGTTTAGAACCAGCCCCGTTCTCAGTTTGTGCTTTGAGGCAGTAGTACCTCATCTTTTATTTAGAAGAAGGAAACTAGCAGTCAATTACATTTCCACATTACTTCCCCAAACTGAACATCCTACACACAGATATATTTTTAAACCAAAATTTTCCATGGCTTTTGAAAATAAAACAAACTCCACCCTTCCTTTATCAGAAAGATTTAATTCAGCTATAACGTTCCTCAAAGAAATACCCTTGACCAACCGAGAAATCCATAACGCGCCAAGGATAAACAGACCTCCGAAAACAATCCTAAACCTACTGGTACTGGTACAGGTGGGGGACTTAGTCCGGCAAGTGGGCCTATTGGTCCTTTTTACCAACCCCAAACTTGATACTACCAGTGGTTGCCTATTGTACCTCTATTTCGTCTCAAACCTTTTTGTTCTTCTAATGAATTTCAAAAGGTTGGAATATTTAATGGAGGCAGCTTTGCATACTTGGATTCTGTCTGCTCCCAGAAGTCTGTATCTGAGTGACGCAAATCGGTAACATTCCGTTATGAAGTGAAGAGCAGTTTCAGGTGCACGTCTTCAGAGATTACAGAGTTCATCATCCACTAGCCCATAGATCTTTAAATATCTTATAAGTCTGCAGTGGCCTAGGACACTTCACGACAGTTCACCTCCAGCTCTCAACCAGTGAAAACCTTCCGAAGACCTGAAGACCTTGTGCCAACCTAAGTGCTCCCAGGCCCAGTTTAAGAAATCTTGTGTAGATAGCGCCCTCAAGCTACCAAAGTCCATACATATCTCTTGGAACCTACCTTGTCAGCAGCCCTCAGGGGCAAGGGCAGCGTTGCTCTCGCAAGACTCTTAGTGCCTAGTGTTTTAGTTACAGTGTAATTCCTGCCCAGTAACCCGTGCGTTGTTCGTTAACCGATAACAGTAACCGATGTGTTGTGACCATTAACCGGTAACTAGTAACCAGTTCCTTGCAGCAGGTTAATCGGTAACCTGTAATAGATACGTGTGTCGCGAAACCTTCAACCAGTGCGAGCGTGAACGGCAAACAGTTTACGGTATGTTCTTGACCCAAGTGTAAGAGCAAACGATGGAAAAACAACAGACTACTTCCCTTCCTAAATCTCCAGAAAACAACAATGGCGAAGGTGTTTTTGCCTTCAAATATCACACGAGAAACCAGAGCCATGGCTGAAAAGAAAAAGAAAAATAGAAATCTTCAACGGCCCCAGCCTCAAAATATAGAAACTTCAAACAAATTCGATGTACTTTCCAACTTACCAGCAGAGCGAGAAGCTACAACCGAAACAGAAACCACTGCTCCAACATATATTCCTACGATACCGCCAGTCGTCGTAGCGAAAATACACACCGCATCCCAAATCAAAAAGTTCTTGGAAAAAATAAAAATAAAATCATACTTCTTGAGACAGAATAGTTCAGGGATAAAAATAATCCCAGATTCACAAGAAGACCGAAATCAAATTATCCATGGCCTCAGAACACTATAAATAGGATTCCACACTTTTGCAACCAGAAATACAGAAGTGGAAAACACACAAACGATGGGTCATAAAAAAAATACCAAAGAACACCAAAATTAAGGACATAGAGCCCTTCAGCCCTCTAGGAATTTCCAACATAAGGAGACTCCATAAAACGGACGCTGAGGGAAAGAAAACACATCATTCACCGGTAATAAGTACCTTACCAGCGAATATAACAGTTGAACAAATTATACAAATAAAACATGTCAACAGATGTCTGTTCACGGTTTGTAACTTCATACCAAAGAAAACTGACTCGGCTCCCTCTCAATGTTATAGATGCCAGCAATTTGGTCACACAAAAAACTACTGCGGATACCAGCTGACATGTGTAAGATGCGGGGGAAATCACCAAATCCAAGACTGACCCCGAAGCAGCTTACCAAAATGTAGCAAATGCCAAGGAAATCATTTTGCATCTTACCGATCATGCGAACACAGGCAGAATCTCATAAAAAAAAGAGAACGAGAAGAGAAAAATGGAGAAAGCAGTAGCCAAACAGAAAACATCACCCGCTAACGACAGGCTTCCCACCACCGACAGGCTTCCCACCACTGGCTCTCCAAGATCAATTAGAATGGCGAGTACAGATACAACTTACTCTTCCTTCTTACAGCCCCTCAATCCATCTACTACACCAGAAACAGAAGAACATTCCCTACTAGCTGAAGAATCGCCCCCACCGATTGATCAACCGCAAATGCTCATGCTTTCCATAATAAATCAAACCATCTCACATATATTCTCATAAATGAAGACATTCATGACAACTTTATTTCAAGAACTCAAAACAAACGGCTGCAATTGTCAAAAATGAATGAGTTCAAGATTCTTAACTTCAACTGTTGCAGTATAAATACCAAAATAGAAGAAATAGAAGCTCTACTGGGAATCACTGAGCCGGCTATTGCTGTTTTTACCGATACTAGGATTCAAGGATGTCACCCTACCTTCAAGGCTATGCCACAATCACGGACGATATCCATGACCCGCATGGAGGAGTAATGATAGCAATCCGACATGGCGTACCCTGGAAAAAGATGCTACCTCCTATAAACACCAGTCATGTTACCGTTCAGGTGCTCATGAAACAACCAACACTCATGACAGGCCTATATAGACGCCCCAGAGGATCCCTAATAGAGTTACGACAACTGGTCGACACCTGTGGGGCGAAAACGAATCACTGGATCGTAGGGGATTTAAATGCTTGACACAGGATATGGCATAATATCGTGAGTAATCAAGCAAGCAGACTACTGGTCAAGACCGGCTTCACGGTAGTCCACCCATCAACCCACACTTACACGACACGTTAACAAGAGCTCCACTTCTACTATTGACCTCCTTCTCACAAAACAATCTCACCGTATCACAGGATGCCCGTCTATGACTTCATCACATCAGATCATAGACCGGTAATATACGAAGTCCAAGGCAAAATATCCAAACCATCAGTTAGAAAATACAAATATCAGGAAGCTGACTGGAGCTAGTACAAATCAGAGATACATCACAGGCTACAAAAGGTACTGATCCTGTGCACAAAGAGGGAGATTGACGACTACATAAAATCTATAACAACAGCAATCACTGAGGCGGCGCAAACGAGCATCCCCGCTTATTATCCACAACTCCCTCACCTCCGGACACCTCCATCCCACATTATGACATTCATAGAAAATAGGCAAACCCTTAAAAACCGTTACTACCGTACAAGAAACCCAAACATTAAAAAGGCTTTAAATTCCATAACAACGCAGATTAAACATCTCATGCATAAGTGGAAAACGGCAACTTGGCACGATAAGTTACAGGCCACGCATGGTGACTACCGCAAATTTTGGAAACTCACCAAAACGGCCACAAAAAAGACCTCCGATGTTCGCTTGCATGACGGTGACCTCCTAATAAATCACGCTGAGCAAGCCAAGCTACTAGCAGAATATTATCGGTGTGATATGAAAAAAAGAACAAGGCAACTACTACCAATCCCAGTTATAGATAAAGAGAACAATTATATGTTCATCTCACCAAAGAAATTGAAAGCAATACTTCGAAGATCGCACGGAAACCAGATATAGAGCAAACCATCCTACTAAAACAGCTACCAAAGAGAAGACTAGCTCACCTCACAAACCTGTATAACTCGTGCTTGAGGTTGAGATATTTCCCCGATAAATGGAAACAAGCCATCCATCATGTTCCCACTACTCAAGCCGAATAAATCAAGAAACGAGGCTGATCATTTTAGACCTATAAGCCTACTACCACATCTCGGTAAGATCTACGAGACAATTATCCTCAATTACCTCAGGGAATTTTGCGATATACACTCTTTGATCCCATACGAGCAGACAGGCTTTCAATCCCAACTAAGCACAGAACATCATTTAATGAAACTCCAGACCGACGTAAACACCGCATTCAATTACAACACCGCAACAGCAATGATATATATAGATTGCACCAAAGCATTTGACTCTGTATCTCACGGTATCCTATGTCGCCAACTAACAGACCTAGAATGCCCTGAACAGCTATACAACACCATAGCCTCATTTCTACAAGATAGGACCATCTCGGTACGGGTCCGAGATGAGTATTCTCAACTTATACCACTGACATGTGGAGTGCCACAAGCAGCAGTGCTCTCACCAGTCTTGTTCTCTATCTACACTGCTGATGTGGTTAGTAGAAACTATAAAAAGCTACTATCGCAGCTTATGCCGATGACATAGCCATCTACAGCAGCAGTATGAAACCCAAGCTAGCTTTAGAACAGGCGGAGAAAATATGTAATAAAATTGTTAAACAGCTGAACAATCTAAACATTTCAGTAAACACTACAAAAACGGACTATGTAGTATTTGCGCATCAAAAAGGGAAAAAGACAAGACTGTCGAGGACTCTCCAATTGGAACACACAATCCTATCCCCCCAAAATTCAATAGTGTATCCAGGAATGAAACAAGATAGACACTTCAAACTATCAACACACATCTATCAAAAGACAAGAAAGGTCAGAGTAAAAGCCTATCAACGACACCAGCCCTATCACCACGTCTCAAATTACAAGTCTACCAAAGCATCCTGCGACCAGCATTACTACGGGGCCCCGCTGTTCTCCTACCGATCGAACGGCACGCGAAGGCATCTTCAGCGCTTCCAAGAAACTATGCTCAGGAAGATGGTGAGAACAACAATATGGAAAAAAGAAAAACCACCAGCCTTAGTTAAATTTCAGTCTCACATCCCCAATTTCAAACATACTTAAAAATGAGGAAGATCCAGTCCAGTTGGTATTGAATTTTTTTAAATTTCATAATTTGTTAACCAAATTTTAAAATCTAAATAACTATATTTCAACGAAAAACAAAATTAATAACCTCGATGTTTTACGCCTTAATAAACCCCCCAAAACAACAACACGAAATGACGAGAAATCGCTCTACGATCGGCACACTTTCTAGACAAACACTCTAAGCTAACAATTAATTACAATAAACTCACATACACGACAATATTAAGGCTAATTGATTCCAGAGTTCTTGATTGCAGTTCTGAAATATAGAACTGTGAATAAATGTAAAAATTTTGCCACTATAAACATCACTAAAATTAATAATAAGGAATGTTGAAATTATGGTTATTCATTCTGTCAACCGAAAGGCTCATATATGCCTAGAGAGATTAAAAAGTATATCTGAATATTTAACCTATAAATGATTATGGATTGTACGATAATTAGTTATAAAGTGTTATTTTCCGTTGTAAAGTTTACTGAAATGAAATTACGATATTTTCATTGCCTGCCATGGATAGGAAAAAAGTCATCATCATCATGAATGGCTCTACAACTCTTGCAGAGTCAAGGCCTCCCGCAATTTCAACCGCCAGTCCTCTCCAAGTAATGCTGCTGCCTTCCAGTTGTGGACACCAAGGATACTTCGGGCTTCATTGCATCAGCCCATCTGAGTCTCGGTCTACCCACCTGCCTTGTGGCGAAGATCTGCTCATCCATCAACTTCCTTCGCAAATGTTGTTCAGGCATACGGAGAATGTGTCCCGCCCCTCTCAACCTGCCAATTTTCATTAGCCTCACAACATCGGCTTCTTTATATAGCTGCTTTAGCTCATCGTTGGATCGCATTCGTCGCTCCTAATTAATATTTATTATTGGGCCGAATATTCTTCTTAGCACACGCCGTGCACACGCACAAACCGAATGAGAGCTGTTTCTTGGGCTCTTGACATTGGTCAGCACTCCGACCCCTGTGTTAGTACTGGTCTGATCAGGGTTTTGTCAAAGGTCGTCACACTAATAGTAACTGGATAATGTTGGGATTCCACAAAGGGAAAACTCATCAAATTATTTACTATTTAGTTTTCTAAAACTAAATAGTTTACTTGATGATTTTTTGGGATAAATGTCAGGTAGATAATTAATTATTTAAATATAATATCATATCTACAGTTATTGAACTACAGTAAATGTATTTAAACATTTATATTAGTTATAAACATATACATGCAATTATTTTTATATTTCACTTTTTCTTTCACACAATTACCATGAAATAGTTTTTTTTAAAATGTCATTAGCTTGATTAGGTGGATTTTAAGTACTTCTTTTTTTCAAACTTAGAAAAAAAATATTAAAAGTTGAAGTTTAAATTTAGTAAGAAAATTTCATTTAATTCTTAATGTTTCACTTTCATAATATTTCTCTTCTTCTTTCACCTAAATACAATTAAATAGAATTTTAAACAATGGCATTGACAAGATTCGGTGGATTTTAAATACTTTTTTTAAACTTTGAAACACAATTAAAGGTTTACATTTAGTAAGAAACTTTTCTTGGAAACATGTGGTTTACGTTAAATAATGTTAGTTTTCTAAAATTATTATTTATATATTTTTCGTCAATCTCCGTTACCTTCTACCACTTTATTTATTTGATATTAGTTTTCTAAAATTCTATGCTAACGATACATTATACGAATACCATTTCATAGTTATTTCTGGAAATTCATTTTCATGCATTTTTCTTTTTTTCTCCAGTTTCCAATCGTCTTATTCTTTCTAACTTCATGTTTGACCATTTTTTATAGTTACTGTCAATAAAATATGTTTAACTTTTTTAAATGAACCATATTAGAGATACATAAGTAAGTAGGTAAGTGAATGTAAAAATTCCTTATTTTCTGCATTCGTTAATAATCCAATTTTTTCATAGTATATATTCAGCCATTTCTTGTTATTAGTAACATTATGGAGTAGTTACTAAAGGTATTTAGAGGTATTTTACTTTAAAATCACTTTTACTTTCACTTAACTAGATGTGTAACATATAATAAGGGAAAGTAAAGCGATCGTTAAAATTTTTGAATCTTACGTTTTCAACGGCAATACACGTTTTGAGGTCCCCTGAGTGCAAATGACCAAGTTCCGAAAAATGGTCTGTGTGTATGTGAACACTGATATTGCATATTTAAGATAGATATATGCCTTAGATGTCCTGACAACTTTTTTCTTAAAATCGGCTAATCGTAAGTGCCACTTTACATCAACGCTGAAACATATTTCTACAATTTCCTCAAAAATGGCCCGAACGATTTTGATTAAACTTGGGGTATCATTGTATAATTAAGTGGCCTTTAATAACATTTAGGTCTTATCCCTGCTGATGTCACTTAAATGCCCAATGTTCATATACCACCTCCTCTAAAGTACCTATATGGTTATTTAAAAAAAAAAAATCTTTTATTGACAATAACTATAAAAACAGATAAATATGAAGTTTGAAAGAATAAGACAATTGGAAACTGGAGAAAACAGAAAATACATATCCAGGTGGAAAATGAATCTTCAGAAATAATAGTCAGAGGGTATATGTATAATATATCATTGGGAAGCGGCGAATTTTAGAAAAAAATAATATCAAATAAATAAATTGTAGAAGATAACGGAGATTGACTAATAAAATATAAATAATAATTTCAGAAAACTAACATCATTTAACGTAAATCACATGTTTCCAAGGAAATTTCTTTATGGAGATATATTACCATCTATCACACCATCTGGACAATAGTAATAATGATAAAGAGTAGCTCAATCATACTATGCACAATAAATAGAAATAAATTAACAGAAATATAATAATACTAAAAGTAAATGTATATAAACTAAAGAAAAATAATCTAATCTAACAAAATAACTAGTTAAATACATACATGCTTTCATACAATATTTACAATATTCATTCACTAAAGGTCTCCGAACGAAGCCTTTCCCTTCACTCGTGGAGGGAAAGGTAGGGCTTTAATAGAGCGTCTTTCCCTCAGCCGCATCACTGGTATTACCAATGGGGGCTGAGCAGAGACACTACAACAAGACATACATGGCTTTAGTGGAGAATCTGGCCATTGCCGGAGCTTACATATATTCTTACGACAGGTCTCTGGGCCACTGCCGCTTCGAGGAGGATTGTAGAGATGAGTACAGCCAGAGAGGCAATGTGCAATTGTATTTGGATGATATGTAAGATTTTGATGGAATTTAGAAAATTTGTGAGGGATGTCCATAGACATTTGTCCTAACAAATGGGGTATTAAGGTTATGGTGTAGAGTTTGGTTGATTACATAGAAAGGAGCATAAACTATTGGTCGAAGGACTTTGGGCTGAATAATTGAATACGTTTGATGTTAGAAAATTTTGCTGCCCCCACAGTTGCACAGTCCGTAGGTTCAAATAGGTTTCAGTATTGTGTAGTAGATCAGCAGTTTGTTGTCAATTGAAAGTTGAGATTTTCTGTTCAGCAGTATATATAGCTATAATAATACTATCGGCCATATCGTTGGTTGAGTTTTTGTCTTTTGAGTCTGGTATATGGATTCCATGTCATTCTTCGGTCTAAGAGATAGCCAAGATACCAGACCTTTGTCTGAGTAAGGAAGCTGGATGGAATTAAAGTGTACTGGTGGACAGGAATTGCGCAGGAGAGTAATGGTAATATGTTTGCATTTCGACTCATTCATTTTAATGCCCCATTCATCACACCAGTGCTCAATCAGGGAGAGAAGAGGTGTAGATTTAAGGATGCTGTTTCAGGATATGAGTTGGATGATGGGATTGCGGTGTCATCAGTACATGTTGCAAGAAAGGTACCGGAATGAGCAGGGATGTCAAGGGAAAAGAGGATGTGAAGCAAGACGCTGCACTGGGAAACACCGTCTTTATTTGAATAAATATCTGAAAATTCTGTTCCGCAGCGTGCTCGGTAGGGGCGATTAAAGAGATAGAATCGAAGAATTAGGTATAAAGACTGAGGGACATAGATTTTAAGCTTGAAGAGAAGCCCGAGGATCCACGCCCGGTCAAAAGTCTGGGCTATGTCCAGAAATGCACTCTAACTGTTTTTCTTGTTTTCAAAGGTTGCTGATATATGATCAACGACTCGAAGTCAGTGATTGATTACTTATTGAACAGTGGAATGTTTTGATCAAAAATCAAACTGATGGGAAAGAAGATTTTGGGATTCTATGAGGGGTAGGAGTCCTTTCAAAAGGAACTTTTCAAAGATTTTTTTAAAGGATTGGGAGTAGAATAATTGGTAAACATAGATCATAGTTTACGCAATCGATTTTGAGATCGTAAAGCGGATTTTAAAACTGGTACTAATGTGCTAACTAGTCTTGCCCAAGGCCGCCTAACTGTTGCAAGACCAAGACCAGGACTGGTAAAAAAATAGATTTTTTGAATAAAAATTAAGGCAAAATAGTTACTAATACTTGACAATCTTATGTAAATAATTGGTATGACCAATATAATTTTGCATTTAACTCTTTTATTTTTTTATTCTTAGTTACTTTTCTCCTATCTAAAAAATTGTAGTAATATCTCAATAATAAAAAGCTAATAAGAAACTGCCAGACTGTTGCGAGACTCTTGCAAAAGACCAAGACCAAGACTCGTCTCGATCTCGCATTTGGGCAACTTGGCTAACTGTATTAGGGAGATTATTACGAGGTTTTAATATTCTGGTTACTTATTTTTGTTTAAAGTGAAATGGAATGTATGAAAAGATACGGAAAACCTTGAAGTTAAGAGGACTAATGTCAGTTATACATGATTCTGAAAAACCTGATAAA